TTCCTAAAGTCTCCATGGGGAACAGTGCGGAGAACAACAGGATCTCCACCTATTCCAGGGAGTTTTACTGTTGATTTACCACCACTATTGGTTATCGTCTTCAACAAAGTTTTGCCACATTTGGATATCCTTTGGGCTATACTTATCAAGGACAGTGTAAGCAAAACCTTCCTGAACAAATCCCACTGCATAAGCTTGATAAAGAGTTTTTATCCCTATAATTGTATAATGTGATAGTTGTTTATATGGTACTTCTCTTTATAATATTTGTTTTATATTATTTTATAATATTAATGTTCAGCACCATAAATTTTTCTGGTAAATGGAGCATACATTCAGAAATTGAAGCAGTAATGTGTGTGTGTGTGTGTGTGTGTGTGTGTGTGTGTACCTTCAAGTCAGTGATTGATTTATAGTGACCCAATTAATTTCATACAGTTTTCTTAGACAAGGAATATTCATTGTTGGTTTTGCTAGTTTCTTCCTCTGACATATAGTCTATTCCATCTGGTACTTATTGGTGATCCAAATACTATAAGAGCTACTCAGATTTGGTGCCTTTAGGCCAGTGGTTCCCAACCTTTTTTTTATCAGGGACCACTCTTCAACATTAGTACCAAAGGGCTATGAATTGGTTTTTAGTCAACTTTAGATGTGGTTGGTTATTTGGGATGCTAATTCAGAAAATTGCACTGGATAGACAACATCAGCTCTAGTTTCTGATACAGAACATATGCCATCCAGTTGTCACCATATGCTTGCCCACAGAAAACCATATCTAATAATCTAGAGCTGATGTGTCTATCCAATGCAATTTTCTGAATCAAACCCCCCAAATAACCCCAGGAACAAGCCTAAAAGCAAAGACACCAAGGCACCCCCACTTCCAGGCACCACATGGAATGGTTCTGGAGGGTAGTCAGCCTCTCCCCTCCCAACATCCCCATTGCCTCAGTATTATAAGAAGGTTTCACAAGACCAGTTGCTCTTGTTGCAATGGTGTAGTAACGGTGAGGCCACGAACCATATTTTAGTTCTTGGGGACCACTGGTGGTCCACAGACCACAGGTTTAGGCTGTTTAGGTTTCCTAATAGTAACACTGAGAAGTACATATTATTTTGGTTGACAGATCTTACAATTGCTGGTGATTTACCAGCTGTGCTAAACCTCTGACCCTTGTGATTATTCCAATACAACAAGTACAGTAGAGTCTTGCTTATCCAATATAAACGGGCCGGCAGAATGTTGGATATGCGAAAATGTTGGATAATAAAGAGGGATTAAGGGAATGCCTATTAAACATCAAATTACATTATGATTTTACAAATTAAGCACCAAAACATCCATGTTTTATAATAAATCGACAGAAAAAGCAGTTCAGTACATAGTAAAGTTATGCAGTAATTGCTATATTTACGAATTTAGCATCAAAACATTGCAATGTATTGAAACACCTGTGGATCCAGGTGGGAGGAAGACTGTGTTGGATAATACAGAGTGTTGGATGAGCAAAGGTTGGGTAAGTGAGACTCTGCTGTAAATGGAAATTAAATGTGACATCTATGAGTAGAATTTCTAATTATAATGGAGTGGAGCAGTTAAACAAAATTCCTTGGGAAATGCCAGGCAGTGCTTGGAAAAGGTCAGTTATTGAGTCCAAACTTCCAGATTTTGCAGCTATCATGATTGGCAAGTAAGATTAAGTTGCAATTACTGATAGATGATAGAGTAATAGCTATGAAATATTCTAATAACCAAATTCTCCTTCTGCTTCCTGATTCTGTGGTGTTACAGTTCAAAACAGTCCATGTATATTTGACATAGAATAAAGGGTATTGAAAAAAATTATTTATCTGTTTGGTTATTGCTGCATGTTAAGTTTGACTATTCCTGTACAACGAGACCTATTCCATTTAGAAACCAGGACTATATATTCACTTCAGTGCAGTGCAGATTGCTAGTCTCAGCATTCAATCTGCAGGAACTGACCCTTAGCCTTGCTACTTTAAGAGATGGGCAAGAAGAAGGCATTGCTTTGATGATGATAAATTAAACAGAGATTGATAATCATGTTGGGAAACTTACATATATAAATTTTGCTTATCTTGAGAACTTGGGAAAGTTATTTTTATAGAGTACATGTTCCAGAATCCCCAGCAAGGATAGCAACTAGTGGACGAAACTTATTTTTCTTAAACTATGCATTATACATCTGAGTTCTGGTTCATTCGCTGGGGGGGGGGGGGGGACAACAATACTAGGGCCACCTTAAGGTCACCATAATTGGCAATTCACTTGAAGACAACAACAAAACCAGTAGTTTGATTATTTTTCCCCATTTAGGGATGAGAAAGAGAAGAAATTGGGATATATTGTTGATGTGGTGTCTTTTTCAAGAGCACAGATTTCTCAATTTTTCTTCCTGCTTCTTGGCAAGGGGTTGGACTGGATGGCCCATGAGGTCTCTTCCAACTCTATGATTCTATGATTCTATAATACTGAAACTCAGTTCATAAACCCATTGAAATATTTGTATGACACCACATTTTTAATCAGAAATGTCTTCGATGGATATTCTTCCCATGAAAAATGGCAGTAATTCATTCATTCACCAAACTCTGATGGAGATTTCAATAATTAGATACACTAGCACAAAGTTACAATGTTGCGGGTTGAAATCCTTTCCATCTTTGAGGATTGAGAGTGTATGCAGTTCAATACATTATTTCCACCATGAGACACCCATATCATTCTGAACATTATACTCAAGTAATATTTCAGAGAATGGCAAGCCAACTCGGTGTATTCCTTCTTTAGGAAATCCCTATGAAAGATGCATACATATAGGGTGCCATTCCATGTACAGAAGCTGGATGAACTGTTACTTGAACCTGACTCCAGTAGTGGAAATGGAACACCTGAAGTTGAACATGGGATTGATGTATGAGACCAACATAAGGTACAGAAAATGTTCAGTAGAAGGGGAAAATCAAACAAAACAACCCTACACACATTTCAAAAGAGAAAAAGAAAGAAAAAGCGAAGTGTGTGGCCTGGAATAATAATTGGAAGGAACTCAGGCCCCTTCTACACAGCAGTATAAAATCCACATTGAATTAGATTGTGTGGCAGTCTGGACTCGGATAATCCAGTTCAAAGCAGATATTGACAATTATCTGCAGCTATTCTGGGGCACCTTCCACACAGCTGAATAAAATGCCACATTTTCTGCTTTGAACTGGAATATATGGCTGTGTGGACTTAGATCACCCAGTTCAAAACAGATATTGTGGGATTTTCTGCCTTATTATTCTGGGATGGCTGCGTGGAAGGGCCCGCGGAGCTTCCAGGAGTCAGGCAGAACACTTCATAGAATCATAGAGTTGGAAGAGACCTCGTGGGCCATCCAGTCCAATCCCCTGCCAAGAAGCAGGAAAATCTCATTCAAAGCACTCCAGCCAGCCTCTGTTTAAAAGCCTCTGAAGAAGAAGCCTCCACCACACTTCCTGTAAACCCAGTTCAGTTTGGGGGTAATATATCCCAACTCTGATGGGAAAGAAGGAACACATAAGACAAAATGTATGATGCCCTAGAATGTACAAGGCACTTAAAGGTGGCATGGTTCTCACCCTTTGGTCCTCAAGCTGTTTTGGACTTCATCTCCCAGAATTCCTGACTGTAAGTCAAGCTGGTTGGTGATTCTGGGAGTTGAAGTCCAAAACACCTGCAGGAACACCTAAAGTTGAGAGTAGAATCAGTGGTTCCCAACCTTTGGTTCTCTGATTTTGGACTTCAGCTCCCAGAATTCCAGGCAGTGAGCCAAGTGCACTTGGGCTTCTGGGAGTCATTATTATTATCATTATATTTACTTATACCCCTCTATATGTCTCATGGAGGAGACTCTGGGCCCTTCCACATAGCCCTTTATCACAGAAAATCAAGGTAGAAAATCCTACAATATCTGCTTTGAACTGGGTTATATGAGTCCACACTCAGATAATGTGGGATTTCCTGCCTTGATATTCTGGGATATAGGGCTGTGTGGGAGGGCCCTCTTAGGCAGAAAATCCCACATTATCTTGGTGTGGACTTGGGGCTCTTCCACACAGTCCTATATCAATGTCAAAAATCACACAATATCTGCTTTAGATTGAGTTATCTGAGTCCACACTACCATATATTCCAGTTCAAAGCAGAAAATGTGGGATTTTATTCAGTTTATGGACTCAGGGCCTTTACAGACAGGCCCTATAGCCCAGGATCTGATACCAGGTTTTCTGCCTTAAACTGGATTATATGAGTCTGCACAGTCATATAATCTGGGATAAACAGACAACCTGGGATCAGATCCTGGGATATAGGACATGTCAGGAAGGGGTCTCTGATAACCCGGGGCCCTTCCACACAGCCATATAACCCAGAATATCAAAGCAGAAAATCCCACAATATCTGCTTTGAACTGGATTATATGGCAGTATGGACTCAAATAACCCAGTTCAAAGCAGATATTGTGGGATTTTCTGCCTTGATTTTGAGTTACATAACTGTGTGGAAGGGCCCTGGGTTATCTGAGGCCCCTTCCTGACATGTCCTATATCCCAGGATCTGTACCTAGGTTGTCTGTTTATCCCAGATTATCTGACTGTGCAGACTCATATAGTCCAGTTTAATGCAGAAAACCTGGGATCAGGTCCTGGGCTATAGGGCCTGTCTGTAAGGGCCCTGAGTCCATAAGCAGAAAATATGGGACTTTATTTAGCTGTGTGGAAGAGGCCAAAGTTGAAATCCAAAAACACCTGCAGGAGCAAAGAACGCCTGAAGATGGAATTGAAAGCAATAGTTGCCAACCTTTGCTCTTGGAAGTGTTGGGGACTTCAGCTTCCAGAATTCCTGGCAGCGAGATGCGTAGGCTGGGACTTCTGGGGGCTGACGTTCCCAATGTCTGGGGAAGCCAAGGTTGGCTGGCCCCTCTTTCCCTCTCCCCTTGCCCTCAACTCACCACTCAGGACTTGTTGGGAGAGGCAGCTCTGCGCCCAGAGCAGCCAGGCGCCCAGCAGAAGGGGCCGAGGCGGAGAGTCTCTGGCCGGAGGAGGGAGCATCTTGAACCGCAGGCAAGTGAGACAGAGAGAGAGACACAGAGAGAGAGAGAGAGCGCGCGCCCACGTCCCCCTTTCCAATCCTCCGCGGCTCCAACGCGGGACCTCTCTCTCGCCTGGGAGTTTTCAACGTCCCGCAAGGCGTGGCAGAGTCCCCTTTCCCGCAGCCCCTGCTCTCATTGCCCTCCGCGGGGAGTTTGGACCGGAAAGTGGGGCGAGGCGAAGGCCGGGGAGGGCAGGGTTTTCCCCGTCGCTTGTGGTGGCGAAGGCAGGAGAAGAGAGACGGAGCCCGCAGCGCCCGCTTTTATAGAGGCGGCCGACAGTCCCGCGCCTCCCTCCCCTCCCCTCCCCTCCCCTCCCCCCCTTCCCTCCCTCGGCCAAGGCGCCCCCTCCTCTTCCCCCACCTCGCCCATTGATTTCCCCGCGAAGTGCCGCGCTGCAGCTTCGGAAGGGCGGGCGGGCGGGCGGGCGGGCAGGGGTCTGGAAAGGCGCGGATTCAGCACAACGCCCCCTCCCTCCCCTCCCCTCCGAAGGGGGACCTTTCCACCTCTAAGGCGGAGGAGCGCGCGGGGTGGGGGAGTCGGGAAGAGGGTCTCCATCGCCAAGGCACGGCTGGCCCCAAGAAGGAGGTTTGCTTCAGTGTATTGTGGAAGGCTTTCATGGCCGGAATCACTAGGTTGTATACGTTTCTCAGGCTGTATCATCATCATCATCATCGCCAGCATTTGGAAACAATAAACATTGACAAAATCACGATCTGTCAACTGCAAAAGGCCACCTTACTTGGATCTGCAGGCATCACTTTCGAAAATACATCACACAGTCCTAGACGCTTGGGAAGTGTTCGACTTGTGATTTTGTGATACGAAATCCAGCATATAGATTTCATTTGCTGTGACATACTGTGTTTTTGTGTCAGTAAAATGATGATGATGATGATGATGATGATGATGATGATGATGATGATTGAAAGGTCGAACTGCAAAGACTCTGGCACAAGCCAGTCAAGGTGGTCCCAGTAGTGATCGGCACACTCGGTGCAGTGCCTAAAGACCTTGGCCTGCACTTAAACACAATTGGCACTGACAAAATTACCATCTGCCAGCTGCAGAAGGCCACCTTACTGGGATCTGCACACATTATTCGCTGATACATCACACAGTCCTAGACACTTGGGAAGTGTCCGACGTGTGATCCAATACAACAGCCAGCAGAGTGATGTTGTCTGCTGTGGACTCATCTTGTTGTGTTTCAAATAATAATAATCAACTTGTTGATGGGAAGCTTCCCACCGGAGTGGAAATAATCTATCGGACAGATGGCAAGCTATTTAACCTCAGCAGACTGAAAGCCAAAACCAAGATCACAACAACGTCTGTTATAGAACTCCAGTATGCTGATGACAATGTCATCTGTGCGCATTCAGAAGAAGACCTACAAGCCACTCTAAACACCTTTGCAGAAGCATACAAGTAGCTTGGCTTGTCATTAAACATCGAGAAAACCAAAGTGCTCTTCCAGCAGTCACCAGCCAATCCTTTTCAATTGCCAGAAATACAGTTTAATGGTGTAACATTAGATAATGTTGACCATTTCCGCTACCTTGGCAGCCACCTCTCCACAAAAGTCAACATTTACACTGAAATTCAACACCGCCTGAGCTCTGCGAGTGCAGCATTTTTCTGAATGAAGCAGAGAGTGTTTGAGGACACTACGGGACATCCGTAGGGTGGCCAAGGTGCTTGTTTATAAAGCAATTGTCCTCCCAACCCTGCTCTATGCTTGCAAAACGTGGACTATCTACAGACGTCACATGCAACTCCTGGAATGATTCCATCAGCGCTGCCTCCTGAAAATCCTGCAAACCTCTTGGGAAGACAGGTGGACAAACATCAGTGTGCTGGAAGAAGCAAAGACCACCAGCATTGAAGTGATGGTCCTCCGCCATCAACTCCACTGGACAGGCCAGGTTGTCCGGATGCCCGACCACCGTCTCCCAAAGCAGTTGCTTTACTCCGAACTCAAGAATGGAAAAAGGAATGCTTGTGGACAGGAAAAGAGATTTAAAGATGGGCTCAAAGCCAACCTTAAAAACTCTGGCATAGACACTGAGAACTGGGAAGCCCTGGCCCTTGAGCATTCCAGTTGGTGGTCAGCTGCGACTAGCAGGGCTACAGAATTTTAAGAGGCACGAATGGAGGGCAAAAGAGAGAAACATGTCAAGCCAACCCCGACCGGGACTGCCTTCCACCTGGAAACCAATGCCCTCACTGTGGGAGAAGATGCAGGTCAAGAATAGGGCTCCACAGTCACCTACAGATCCACCCCCAGGTTACCACTCTTGGAGGGCCATCATCCTTGGACTACGAGGGATCACCTAAGTAACAATACTTTATTTATACCCCGCCACCATCTCTCCTAAGGGCCGGCTAACATGAGGCCAAGCCCAAAATTATAGTACAGCCAAATAAAATACAAGAAACAAAAATAACATCAAAATAAAATACATGGAATAACAAAATAAAATAAAGTTACAAAATAACATGATAGAGAAATAAAACACAATTGGTGGGCCCAATGCACAAGATAAAATTGATAAAACCCTGGGTGATATAGTAGTGGGAGAATGTGTTTCTGAGGGAGGAGCTCAAAAGGGGCAAACAGTGAGTTTAGACCTTCATTAAGGGCAGGGGGAAAGTGCATCAGGAGAACTGAACTGGAATTGGAACAGACAAAATATGGGGTATATGTTCACTTGCCAAAGGCACATCGGAAAAGCAAAGTTTTTAGGTCTTTCTTAAAGGCTGCCAGGGTGGGGGCTTGCCTAATCTCACTAGGTAGCAAGTTCCAAAGCCGAGGGGCCACAGTGGAGAAGGCCATGTTCCAGAAGCCTTCTCTCCTGACCTTTTGTCTGCATCTATGACAGGCATCCTCAGAGGTTGTGAGGTCTGTTGGAATCTAGGAAAATGGAATGTCCAGGATGGGAGAAAGAACTGTTGTCTATTGGAACTAGATGTGAATGTTTCAATTGGCCACCTAGATTAGAATTTAATGGCCTAGCAGTTTTCAAGGTGTGGCTTCAAGGCACATGAAAGGCACTGCAGACTACTTCAACCAGAGAAGTCAGCCATAGCAAAGCACCTGATGAACCAACTTGGGCCAAGGGGCCGCATCTGGCCCCCAGACCAGCGTTTACCCATTCCTGGTATAAAGAGAGCTAGTAATCCCTTCCTGTAACTAGCAGTGGACTTCAACTCCCTAAAGTCCCCACCCACCTTTGTCCTTTCCATACTGTCATATAATACAGTTTCAAGCTGTGTTATATGGCAATATGGATGTCCTCATTGGTGGGATCTTCTCAAGGTTTTAGTCCAGGCCTAGGCAAACTTCGGCCCTCCAGTTGTTTTAGACTTCAACTCCCGCAATTCCTAACGACCAGAAGGCTGTTAGAAATTGTGGATGTTGAAGTACAAAACACTTTGAGGGCCGAAGTTTACCCAGGCCTGTTTTAGTCCATTGTTCAAAGGAGCTATCCAGGGTCCTGAAGCCTGTCTCTTTACAGTAGTTCCCAAATTCAAGTGTTGGACTTGAATTCCCAGAAGTTCTAGCCAGTTTGGCCAACTGTGTGAAATTCTGGGAGATGAAGTCCAAAATATGAGGAAGACCAATGTTTGGGAACCACTGTTGGCTGGTCACCACAGATACCTCCTTTGTTTTCAGGCTAAAACCTGGAGTAGAATCAGTGTTGCCCCAGACATAACGGTTACTGCTGCCACCCTGGTAGTTTAGCAGAAATTGCAGCAAGGATATTCCAACATCTTTTACTGCTTGAAGCAAATTATTTTTGCATTTTATGTACAAAACATTGTACATTTTATGTACAAAACAAGAGACCTTAAGGACTATCCAGGTGAACCCTCTGCCATGCACATTGGCTGAATTGGTGCTTGAACCTAACTCTTAACAGTGAGATAGTATCTCCCATTGCACTGGAGGGCAATGTGGGAAATGCAAGATAGGCTGTTTGACATACACATGACACAAAAGGAGAGAGAAATAACCTGTGATGAGCTCTTAAAAGCCAAGCTAAGGGCATCTGGGTAAAAATTAAGGAGGAGAGAAACAACAGGGACATATCACTGTGTGGATCTACTGCAAACTCCCCTGCTTGGATGAGATAAACACACATTTAGAATGAAGAGATGTAGTAGTAACGGGAGCTTTCAACTGATATGTTGTGGAAGTCAAACTCTGTCAAATATATCCCTGACTTTTCTTGAGTCTTATGATTGGAACATACTAATGAATTGGTATAATGTATTCCAAAGAAAAATACCAAATAGGAAAAGATGAGTATATCAAGAATGTGTAAATTTGTGAGTAGATACATAACTTAGAACATGGAAAACAGCTTAGGAGTCTTTGGATAAAAGGGGGAGAGAAACAACAGTGATCTTATTATAATATAAGTATCTACTATGCTCTCCTAAAAGAAATGCCCAAATATTAAAAAAGGAGAGAATATAGTATTGATGAAGGTATCAACCAGTCTGATAATTCTTCAAAATCACACCCTGCCAACAGTGTAAGTTCTAGCAAATTCCTCACTATCCTTGCAGGACATGTCATTGTACAAAAGGTGAAGAAAACAACAAGGGGTCAGAAACCAATAATATGGAATTGGTCAATGGGGTGGCAATAGTAGGGTCCTTAGGAGGGCATGACTATGTTCTCCTTGGAGTTTGTTATACAATGGAAAGACGAAGCCAAGTGTAGTCAACCATGCTTTAAAAAAACTGATTTCAGTAAACATTAGGAAAGACTTTGACTGTAAGAAGTGTTCCACAGTGGAATACACTGCCTTGGAGTGTGGAATATCCTTCGCTGGAGGTTTTTTAAAGCAGAAACTGGGTGGCTATCTATCAGGAGTACTTCAGTTGTATGTTCCTGCATGGCAGAGGGTTCACCTGGATAGTCCTTGAGGTCTCTTCCAATTCTGTGACACTAGGTCTGAAAATTGCTTTCACCAACATCGTCTTCTCTACTACCTATCCACTCCTTTGGTTTAAAAGGAAAGCTATGCTACTGGACTTATCCCCTTCTGCTGTCTAGAAACAAAGTTAAAAACTACATCATTCCAAAATAGCAAATCACATTGAGGCATCACACCCAACAAACATCAGAAGCATTTTATTTGACCATATTTCTCACTCATGGTAACTTTGAAAAGAGAATAAAAGATTTAAAAGCAGTTGAACTGGTCACAAAACATATGAAGTTGGTACGAAAAATGAGTCACAACACAACAAAGTTATATCAACACAAAAGCCAT